GCAAGTGGAAGCACATAGTTTAACAACAGAGGAAGAATTGTTGAGTTACATTGACCATTTTATTAACTTAAAGGTTTTTCCACTCTCAAGGATTGATGACTTGGGAAATGTTTGCTGAAATAACAAAATACTTGTTAATTTTCCGCTGATATGGACCATCTGTATCGGTTACCTATAAAGTATCATGGGAAAGTAATTAGTAAATCGAAGGTAACTCATACGTAAATTACTTAGAATTCAGTATGAAAGTGTTTCTTATAAGTACATTTAAACTTTAGAACATTCTTGTCCTGGTATAATTTTAGTTAAATAAAATTTTTCTAGAAACTTTGGCGTATTAACATGAATTACCAAAAGTTTGTTATTTTTCTTATAAGATACAAAAGTTGTTCATTCTTTGATAACATTCAGTAAATCTTGGCAAAATTCATCCATCCCATTTTTTAAAACATCACTTAGTGTAGAACCATTTTTAAATGTTATGAATTGTTTCAGTGTCAGTTTGTATTTAAACATGGTCTTTTTTCCTGTTCCATTCAATTTCATATTTATTTTTCCTGAATAATTGGTTTATTATTACTATTGTTATTATTATTATTATTATTATTATTATTATTATTATTATTATTATTATTATTATTATTTCAGGACACCATTTGCCATTTGTATTTTGATCACCTTTCACAATAGGTTCGTCCATTTTATGCTAATTTTATCATAAGCTGGTCACACCCTTATACACTCATCATTACTATTAATCTTTGTCTGATGTGAGTTAATTTAAGAATTAGTTTTCATTTGTTTACCAACTTTGTTTATCTACTAACTTTTCTTTGTCTAATAATGAGTATTTTTTTTAGAAATAAACTCAGATTGTTAACTGTTGATAAGGAAAATAATTAGATAGTGTTTTGTAGTGCGTAGATTGACTAACTGCGTAAGTATAGAGTTCATAAGTTGGAATATTACCAGGATATATTTGTGTATCTCTGAATTGTCACCATAAATAATAAATGTTCATTATTTGTTTATACTTAGATATTTATCTTCTAGAACTATTAATAACCCATAAATTTATTGAGCTATGTGAAGTATGTGATGAACCCAATTACACTATTTTTCTCAGCTTAGTGAAGTAGGAAATATGAACTATTGAATTTCAGTCTATTAATTTGGAAACGGTTTCTTAACAGCAATACTCAAAACACCTCAGGCTTTTTGCTATAGAGGTTAAATCTCTCGAACTCGTAAGAAGCCTGAAACTAAGACAAAACGCCTAGTAAATGCATCCTACTTTTTATTTACTCCAGTTTTTCCAGTTTATGTTGTACTCAAGTTAACAGGACCCACTGAGTTACAGGTTTATAAATCCAACCAGTTTTAAGTTATAGGACAAATGTAGGGAGCTGAAAATTATTAATGTAAGCTTATTTTTCGTGGTTGTTATAATGCTTAGTCAGAAGCAGTTATTGATGTTATGATTCACCCAACTAAGTTATAGGTTATTTTAAAGTTACTATTAAAATTTCGTCTTATGTTAGTTTTTCACAATACTAATATGAGTTCTTACCTATAATCATATAAGTATGAAAGCTAAATCAATCATTCCAAAGTATTATTGAACTAGCGTCGTAATAGCGTGTAAAAATCGGATGTCATTAGGCTTTTTGGAAACAAGTGTTCTACTATATGATAGTGACATCAAAACGGAAGTGTTGCAGAATAAGTCAAAGCTTCTGTATTTAAATAGGTTTCACAATAAATGACATTTTAATAATCAATTATTGAAAGCGGCCCATTTTAAGTTAAGAGTTTTTTGTTTCTACATATCCTATAAATCGATTGCATTGTCCAATAAGACAGCTAGGAATGTAGGGAAAAAAACTACAACCGAATCACAGTTGAATTTTTTTAAACATTTCTTTTATTCACCTATTGGTAGTAGTGGTAATATGCATTGTACAACTTATAAAGAGTATGAATCTGTTATTTTTCGCATCTAAGTAGAGAGTGAATCGATTATTCTAACTGAAATATATTATTTATAGGCGTGTGTATAGCCATGTGTATTGTCTGCTTGTGTATCTAATTAACAATGTATAATTATTGATACTTCTTTTTTGTTCTACAGAGATTTATTTTCTGATTGTACCTCTTGGTTGAGAAATTTCATAATTATGCACTTATTATCGTATTAGTTTCTTTTAATAAGACATATTGTTGTTTTTCATCATTTCATCTTAGATAATAACATAAAATGTCATTATTGTTATTTAAGTAATATTACAGCTTTTCATTATCCATGTGTGCATACTTGTAGATGACTTGTCACTGATAAATGTTGTTATAAGCATCGATTCTTATTGTAAAAAATGTCTATTAATTAGGCGTTGGTTTGTTTTAATGCTTTACATATTGTTGTTGTTATTATTGTAAGTCTCGATTGGCACTTGTCTCTTATGGCACCAAAAACATAGATTTCTCCATCAATTGTAAGTGATTACATTAGATAATACCCCTAATGTATGATATAATGTATTTTTCAATTTATTTTGAAATAATTTAGAGACGATTTGGTCTTCAGTATTTCTGATTGTGAGTTAATTAACTGATCATTATCACCTAAAGACAGCATCATACCTTTTAGTGTTCATACCATAATCCAACTACTTCGGTTATTTGATAGAATTATCGATTGCTAAACATGCACAACACTACAATTGTTTACTCTTTCCATCTGGAGTTTTTCTCTGGTATTATTTGTAATTGACTTAATAAATATTGATTGCTTATTACAGGAATGAAGGCTTTTTCAATTAAAGAAAATGGATTTTTTTAAATAGAATTACCAACATGTTTCCACTACAAGAATGGTTATTTATCAGCTTCTGTTCTAAGACGTTGAATTGAGATAGATTGGGGTGGAAACTAATCGTCATTTGATGGTGAATTAGTTGGCAGGGTTGCCTGTTTATTGTCTTATTAATGTAGATATCTGAAGTCTCTACATTTGATACAAACAGTGATGTATTCTTACTTGAGCTCCAACAATTTATCATCACTTGCTCTCCATTTCCTTCAATCTTTTGTAACGGTTCCCATTTTGCATTGACGTGTACGAGTAACATGTTTTTAAAACGGGAACAATTTTTTAAATGTATGAAATATCCCACCTCCTCAGTGTACACTGGTAATGTCTTTTATGTGTGACAGTGTGAACCAATCCATCAGTTACTTCAATCAACCAAATACGGTGATTGCGCTCTTAGTTTACTGTCAACATGTTATATGATCAAAGGTATATGCCACCACATCACGTATTACTATGTCAATTTTTGTTGAGCTCTTTTGATCTATCTTTTAGGTTTAGTTCAGAAAGTCCTTAATCCTGTTTTGGACATTGTTTTTTGCACTTATCACGTTTATGTACTCATTCATATTTACCTTTCTAAGCTAAACAGTCAGTTTGTGCCTATCTAGTTTCTTTTCAACACGGGAACTTCAGGATTTTAATTCAAACAGTGGCAGAAGATTGCCAACCATAGGTGAATAATGATATGCAAGCGTTCTCGCTACCGTCTTTTCCTCGAGTAAATCATGATTACAAGTCAATTCTTGCTCATCTTGTCTTTCTTTAAAACTCTACATTGGTTCATTAGTGAATGGGGCATTTTAAGGATGAATTGTGACTGGCCTTAATTAAAACGTGATTTCTTAGGAAAGAAAACTGATATGCTGATAGAATTAGAATCATTTCTAAATAAATATAGAGTTTTAAATCTTTTGAACACATTAATCCATCTATAAGAGGCGTCGATAAATTATCTTTCACATGATTTTCTATCGTGTTTGCTCGGGGTAGTAAAGATACATTTTTTCATCAAAAAATAAAATGATAATATAGATTATTTTGTAAATTGATTGATCGACTTCAATTCCAATAATTAGAATGTTTTCTTGTTTTTTTTTCGTGGTTTGGCAATGTTTAATACATTTTGGAATGTAAATGTATATATGACCTTAGTTATTCTGAGTTTCAATAATTATGTAGTAATGATTTGTCATCTAATATAATTTTTTGATTATACTTAGTTTTATCTTGTAAAGGGTACCCTGTAGAGTAGTAAGATAGATTTATTGCATCAATTTAACTTGTTCGGTAATAAGTATACTACCTTTAATAAATCCTAAATTAATTCGATTGTTCAATAGTAAATGGTGTCTATCGCAACTTTTTCATAGCGTACACTTTTGTTTGTGTATCAAATGTAGCTAAGAGTGTATCTAATACTAAGATAAGAAATTTCTTAACATTATTTTCTCTATTTGGTTATATTTAAAAGAAACTTTTATGCCAGATTCATTGTACTAACAAGAGTTCACTAAATTGAATCGGATAAGCTAAAACTCAAACGTGATTACGCTACTACTACTCACTCATGATTTCACTGGTGTTTTATAACGTCTAATCATTTATTACGGATGGTCTACTTACTAAACTATTGATTTCTACCCATAAACGTTTTGTTTGAAGAGTAAGCAATCTATTTACCATAATATTCGTCCCAATCACTATGATACACTATCGTCTTTTTAACTGTACAGTGGACGTTTATTACTATTACATATATTTATGTGTAAAAGACAAATATATAAACGAAGAATATTCTTTTTAATAAGTTCTCTTCAGGTTCTACAATCATATATCCAAATTAATAATCCGAAAAGTGGCCAGGTTTAGAGCACAGTGTATTGTTTAGTTGAGGTATATGAATTTAGGATTGTTGAACAAAATAAATTTGTTCATGTTGAGACGACTCATATGTAATGTCAACTTGAGTCAGCTAGCAGGGTAAGAGAAATAATAGTGCAATTACAAATCGTGCACCTATTCAGATGATTCTTTTCTTTACTTTCGTTTTACTGCTCTGTATCTAACCGTTTAGATTTCCACGTAAATGTTTCTGTATAAAATGTCAATTTCTGCATTTTTCTTTCAGTTCTTTGTGGTCTAAGAGTTAGTCAGATGGCTCAAACTTATGAAGATTTGGATGCTATTACCCAACTTTTAGAAGAAGTAAGTATTTCTTTTTAATAGCGGTCATGGGAAACCAAACTTAAAGTTGAGATTTATGATATCGAATAATTTATATGGTCTGTTTTGACGTTAAACTTCCATTCCGGTTATAAACAGTTTAAAAAGTTTTAATATGTGCATATCTTTTAAAACTGAAGATGTGGATTCTCAGTAGGTTTTTTTCATTTATTACATTACAAATAAGTGCAAAAATCAATCAGGATTTAGACACGGTGCGAATATTCAGACTTTTTAATAACTCCCAGTTTATTTCCTATAGGTGTGTGGCTAAACTGTTTCATAGTTAATTGGGAAGCTTCACTAATTATCAATGGAATCTTTCTTAATTTATTTCTTACTCTGTACATGTATTTAGTATAACAAAATTACTTTGAGAGTATACAAATATTCCTATCAATGAATATATATATATATTTAATGCTAATAATGGAATTTTAATGAACACCTTCAAATATCGATGGAAAATGTGTTCTGACATTCGTCATTATTCTGATAATTTCAACAAACCTAGTGTCAATTAATGATTCTTGTTTTTTAGAATCGTTTATTCTCCTATTACAGTTTCAAAATATTTGTTATTCTGCACTATAATCTAGAAACAAACAGATCTTGAATTGGCAGCGAAAATCGGTAAAAATCTGTTGGCGAAAAATCATGACCTTCAGTCGAGACTATTAGAGACTGAAAAGAATCTTAATGCACGTGATGAAGTTGTAAGTTGTATTTATTTGTTTTATTTGTAGAGTTTTATTTTACGTATTATGTAGTCAGGACAAGTTAGGAAAGAACAACTCATACTTTTTGTTTTCAATGAGTTATATTTTTTTAGCTTTCTTCGAACCATTTTCAGTGATTTAAAAAATGATTTCATTGTTTTTTACGGTCATAGCTTTTCCAGTATTGATGTTGCTTTTCTTCATTTATACCGTTTACCCTGTTACCAGGAGATTTTACCATAGATCTAGTATCGTCTAAAATCAGTTACCAGTACTACTGCTGGATTTTAATCTGATCTTGATTCTTTGTGTAGTAAAGTTAATAATTTATTTATAATGTAATAATGAAATTTAAGTGATATCAAAACAATGTATCATAGATACATGCCTATTTGTTTGCTTGAATTAATAATGTACTTTGTATGGTGATGACTGTCTTTAATCTAGACCAAGTTCTTTTGTTGTTGTAAGTAGAATAAAATAATAAATTATTGTCACGATCTCTGGGTTTTTTCTGCTACGTTAAGTAACCTAAAGTGGAAACAAAAGTGATGGGATCACATTAGTACAGTAATATTAGCGTATGCAGTTTTTCTTCTCATGTCAACTAGAACTAGTAAAATGAATTAATCCCTTTGATAAATTTCGAAAATGTAATAAGAAGACGAAGATTATCAGAACTACGTGATATATTCACGCAATACATTTCGAACAATCTGATCACACATATACTTCTTAAGAACATTTAGATATAAAAATAAAAGGTCAACTAGATTGGAAATGGGGTGAGCGGATCAGATTGTTCGAAATGTTTTGCGCTAATATATCACATAGTTATGATAATCTTCGTCTTCTTATTACATTATCGAAAATGAATTAAGTCAAAAATGAGTTATTTGGTGCTTTCAATAGTTGCAATCATGAGTCGATTGAAGCTAGACCACCATGGAAAACCGGGAAGCACTGAACGGCCGTTTCGTCCTAGTATGGTACTCCTCAGCAGTGCGCATCCACGATACCGTCCCTCGTGAGATTCGAACCCCAGGACCTATCAGTCTCGCGCACGAGCGCTTAACCTCTAGATCACTGAGACAGCATCTAACGATGTTAATGTCTAACTTCAACCGATCCACGAGATCGCGCCACCGTACACCATTGTCTTCAGTGAGCTGATATCTCACAACAGACCTGGTTGAACTCCACTGATCACGGCTTCTCACTGGAACTCCAGGAAATGCTTCTTGAAGTCAGTCACTAGTGAGCAGATGATTATTATCAGAAGGGGTTTTGTGGAGATTTTAGTAATTTTAATAAATGAAATCATGAGTCGGTTGAAACTAGACCATCATGGTAAACCCGAAGAGTCCCATACTAGGACGAAACGGCCGTCCAGTCCTTCCAGATTTTCCATGGTGGTCTAGCTTCAGTTGACTCATGATTTCATTTATTAAAATTACTAAAATCTCCACAAAACCCCTTCTGATATTTGGTGCTTCACAAATATATATATATATATATATATATATATATATATATATATATATATATATATATAAACTTTTGTAATTAAAGATGTTCTGGTTATATTTTTTTCTATACTGATTTAAGTTACAAGATAGCAAATCTTTTGATATATAAGCAAAAGTTGTGCAGTCTGAAATTCACCAGTCTTGGTTATAAGACTTCAGTGTCATACAGTTAAAATGTGACTGAGCTTTTAAGGAGAATGTTACTATGAATTAATTTCGAACGATCTAGCTGCACAAGTTCAGTTTTTCATAGTTCATTGTAAGTGAGCACCAAGTCGGTAATTCAGTAAATTTCCATTCCCTTCTATTATTAACATACTAACAATGTAAAGTGTATAAACGGTGCTATGTGTATACGGCTTATCGATTTTGATGAACTTTATTTCTTGTATATTTTTTCAGATTAGTCAGCTAAACCATAATCTCTCTGTGAAAGATAATTTACTACGTATATTCCTAAGAGATTCCGATCAAATTACTGACATTAATGATGATGAAGTTAGTGTATTATCCAGTGGACGTGCATCACCTGTTCGCAGTCAGCAGGGATTATCGTAAGTTTGTACTCGTGAATAGTTTTTTCTTTACTTTATTGTTATATCGCTTAGTTACTTACTTTGTAAGAATTACTACTCAGTAGTTTGATCATCTGTCAACAGAATTTCTTATGCTCACTATACAATAACTTCAATTTTAGCACATAGGGTTACCAAGTTACGTCAGTTGGTAAAACTGATACGAATACTATTTATTAATTGTCTTCTACATTGTAAATATATGACTGAGATAATGACGTGTTTTCGAAGTATCTCATCCTCTATTGCTTACTTACTGAACTAAACTGACTACCCACTATTGGCTTAAAGCTTACTTAAGTAACAACTTTTTGCGCATGCTGATAAGCACTGGATTTGGTTTCTTCCGTGAATGCCAGTACTGGGATTCATTTGGATCTAGATGCGAATTCCTAATTAGAATGAAATATGTTTACTATATTTATGGTGGTATGAGCTATTGATAATGAATTAGCTGTTGCTTATTAAGAATCCATCAAACTTTCGCATGTGTAAATTTCGCTTTGTGTATATATCATTATCTACTTCAGTGCTACAGCTATGTGCGACTTATTTTCATTCATTTGGTTTCTCATAGACACAGACGATGTCACAAATATATATTGTTTCATGTAAACACATTCATAGTCCAAATTAAATTACCTCTGTCTGTTCGTGACATAGTTAGACAAAGACAGATGTCAGTGCGCAGTTTTATACAGCCGTACACCCTACCGATACTCTGCACAATGCATCACACAAAGTACGCACCAAGTCGACACGTTTTGCATCAGTGCACTGAGAGGAAATAAGCAAGATACAAGGTAGGATATTGAATATGGTGGACCAACCAAAGTCGCCAAGTAGAAAGACTGCGTTGCGTTAATCGAAAGTGCAATCGACGGATTCATGTTATTGGCCGTGAAATGGTTTCATTTTCTATGCAAACGCGTATATTTGTATAAATGAGTGCTTCCTTCACTTAGTCTTCTCATTCAGTAGCCGGTTTGACGCTTGTATATCAAAAGTTTGTGCATCAGTATCAGACTCGGACACTGCGCGTCATATATATATTAAAATTGAAGATTTATTTAGGGGTAAACAAAAGCTGATTCACGTCATCCATCCATCGCGATTATTGCACTTTCTCTAACCAAGATTTTTACGTCTTACACTGTAACTACTAAAGCCAACGGTTAATGACCTGTTTACCATTAGACTTTCTTCAACCTACTCTTCATGCTAGTTTCGATTGTATTTCACATTGATTTGGTCATAGTGTTTACGTCATATATAATTCATGAAATCCAGAGCCTCATTTTAACTTATTCAGTATTACACATTTGGTCATTCATTTATACGCTCAAAGCCACCTGTAATCAAATGATAACAGTTTACGCCTATCATCTGTCTGTCTGAATGTCTAATTTTCCATGTTCTCATTACTTAAAACCTATTAGAGCAAATATAATAAACTTAATTTCCAGTAGTTATACACTTATTTTCTAACATTGCCAACCCTATTCATAGACATTTTGTTTTCTACTCAATCTGATTTCCTCCAAGAAAGCACTTGAAGAGAAAAAGATCAATTGATTTTTCAAAATTGTTTCACTACTGGCATTTAACATTTCAACATAAAAAATAATGCATTTAATCCTGTCGTTGACATCCATTAATGAGTCACTTAGCTGGTTGCTTGACCTTAAGGTTGATTAATAATGATTTCGGGGCAGACCAATTAACTATTGATTCTCTAACTTTTTTAAGTGTTTCTGTCCCCGTTGACTCATTCCCATTTATAGCTGTGCCTTAACATTTCCCTTTTGTAATTACCCTGGGGCTAAACTTAGTCTTTTTCTTTTCATTATGTCCCGGCTACAGAACTGTTATTCCAAATGATGGACAGTGAGTGCTTAGCGAAAGTTATATTTTGAATGATAATAGGATAGTTTGGGAAAAAACACGCATATTTTGTGTTTGATATCAGTTTTCATTTAGCAGTATATAAATTAGTTAATATATTTTATCTATTTTTTTCCTAGTAATACTTTTTTAGTAGTATAAAGGCTGTTATTTTGTACTTTTGCATATTCTCGGCCCTTGTTTAATGGTCTCCTTTGTAAATGCTACGTATTATTTCTACTATTCCAGCATTGTTTTTTTTATAAACATGTGTATGTATACATAAGTTAAGGTGTAAATAGAACTCATGTGATCGTTAGTTTATTCAATTGGTTCTATTACATTTTACTAAATAATGTAATCTCACCTTCAGACAGTTAGTTATTTCTTTCTGCATAACGTTTTTATTTTTATTTTCGATGATATAAAGGAAAACCATTGGGATTGAAAGCTAACTGTTGTCGAATTTATTGTTCCTTTACCCGATAAATTGAGGTGTACAGAACTCAGTTACTTACTGATGCTAACCCGTAACTGTAGGCAAATTACGATAAATTACGCCTGTTTCGGTAGGTGACCTGCCTAACCAGTGGGTCGAAAGAACCTCCTTCTCCATCCCGCCATTTTAGCCCCAAAATGCCCTGGTACGGCCGAGAGTGTAGAAAGTCAGCTCTCTCCCTCGAAATGCTCTCACATGGCTACGTGCATACAACTACTGCCAGGGAAGTCCTACTCACTGCCTTCTCGCGGCGGGGTGTTGTTTACGAAATCGAGAAGACGAAAAGTGAATGTCCGTCGCCTTAACCGGGTTGGTGGACACGAAGGGTCCACCTAAGGGAGTTGGAAAACCCTGATTTCAAACCGACGGCGCACATGGGCTCGAGGTTCCTGAGGGAACAAATGGAGTATGAACCTATTGTTGATCACCGGCTACCATGAAACTGCATCTCCTTACGTTGCTCCACTGCATTGTGGATCAGACCTTAAGGTCGAAGGCTCCGGTGTGTGGCCCGTAAGAAAACCACCTGCTTCGGTTTGGGCACCCGAGCAGTATACTTGCCCTCACACAAATCGAATGATTTATGTGGTGTATATGTATTCGGTACTCCTTTTGCACCAATGTTTATGTGTTTAAATAAATAATAAAATAAATAAAACTCTAGGTACCAGTTATTTCACCCACCTATTATTACCGTTCTCTCTCCATAATAGTGTTTGTTCAGCTTAGTTTTCTTGTTTCATTTATAGTGAAATTGAACTAAACATCGGAGTTCAGTTAATTGTTAATAGGAACTAAAAGTGACTGATTTGAAAACTTAAGATCACTTTAAAAGCTGTCTGGGTAGAATACCTATCAAACTGTTTGTGTTTCTACATAGTCCAACTTTTCTCTCATTTACAGTATTCCCCATTTGTCTCGTTGCATTTTATTTTGTGGATGAAAATGTTTTTAATCTTCATTATTCACTTAGTATATGTTGTTTTGGATTGAAAAAGTTTAGTCCGTTATCAATTCTGTATTTCCAATTGCGTTATTTAGTTAATTGTAAACATTCTTATTTTTCAGTCAATAGTAGTTGCAAACTGACAAGTATATGTGATGAAATTTAAAGATATTGTTTTTTTCAATCAACTAAAGGACGTTTTTTAGCATTAACTTAGCTATATGTATAGTGAATTCTGGAGATTTGATTGTTCATACAGTCGATCCTTAGCCAGTGAAACTCATTAATGCAATCTGAGAAGATAATTTATGTTGATGTCGTTCATCTACTTATGTCTACGAGTGGTGATATTTATTACTCCTAACTCTACTTACCAGGTAAATATTTGTGCATTTAGCTTCGAGCCATACTTTGAGTATAAGAGCTAGTGTTATTATATGGTTCCCCAAACTGAGTTATGTGTAGAGGGGTTGGTATATACCATGTTAAGTTAGTTACCTGTTTTAAATGCAATATCTTTGAGTAATAAATTTATGTCAATATTATGTGGTCTGTCTTATCCTAATATGTCTGTAATCAAACTAGTATTTGTTCCTACTTATCTTGCTAAATCGTGTTTTTTTCTCAGTAGATAGAATGTATTTGACCGTTATTGTTTATCTGTAACATGGTGGCATAGTGTTTTTTTTTCAGTTATCGTTGTAGACAGTTAGGTAGTGTTTCTAAGACAGCTTTTCCTCCACATTATGAATTCATAAACATTTGTTTCTTTTGCCCTAGAGAATTTAGTCTTTGTTCTCGTAGTTTCTGTTTTTTCTGCCAAATTTGTATGGGTGTTTTTTCTGTACTCATTTTTATCCTCATTGTTTAGTATGTTTTAAAAAAGTTAAGTACATCACTATGATTATTGCTTCACACACAGCTAAGTGATTACAAATAGGATCAGTAATGTTTAAGATAATAAAGAAAATAATCTACTGAAAAACTACTTGGATGTCCAGTCTAATTTTTTGCGTCATCAGATAATGTTCATGGGTACTCAAAGTGTATCTGGTTTCACTTCATCACTAGTCCGAGAAAATCCATCCTTAAGACTTATTTACATGTCCAACTTTTGATCGGCTAACAACAATTTATTTATGCCTGAATGAGTATTTAATTCATCACTTCACAATCAGAGTAGTTATTACATTCATCTCCTTCGTATGGTGATTTCGGCTCATTTTCTTCGTTTCTTCTTGTATTACCGATCCCATTAAAATTACGCGATGCATTACACCTGAATAGTATGCTAACACATAGACTAGTATGAGATAATTTCAAAGTCAATCTGGACTATACAGTAGAGTTAAAAAAACGCCACTAGAATATGTCACTCATTTTCTCTACCAATAAATTAGTTGAATTATGTATTTGATTTTTCAATTAATCTATTCTTGTAGATTCGGATATCCAGTATGTTGATTTTTTAAGCTACCATCTAGGTGTACTTTTCGAACAGATAAGCGGATTTGATTTATATCCAAATGTAATGCAGATAGAAATTTAAACGTTGAATAAATGAAGTATATTGTGATCATAGCGTTGGACTGATAACTGATATTCATTTAGATAAGAGCATAAAAATGAAACTTTATATCCTGTGTGTTACGTCGGAATATTGGTAGAAAGTGATCATAATGTTTGAATATTTTATCCTTTTGGGTACCACTGTTATATTTCAAGATTTCTCGTGGTTATATGATGAATACATTATATTATGCAATTTTTCACCCAAGAATTCCATTTTGTAATGCATTACTTTTCTCAAATATACATTGTTTCCTCACTTCTCTAACATTTTATCTCAATATATTTTCCTGCATATATATGTATGTGTAGATTCTTCAAGTCACATGATCTTTAGTGTTTAGGTTTTTTTCTTTTGTCACTGAAATAATAATTTTGTCAATACGATCATTTTTCTTATCTAATTGATAATTTAACGATATTGTGAATGTACAAATGTACTTTAATTTAATTATTGACCAGCTTATAAACGGAATTACTAATTAAAAATAGGTGAATACGAGATTGTTAAGTTCTTCTCTTTTTATTGTGTAACATTTTGTATTCACATTGTTTTTCAACTTGAAATTCCTTTAGATTATTGTTTATTTCACTTATCATTTCCAGTATTTTCTGCAAAGTATAAATAATAGCTCACAGTGTGGTGTTTATCGGGTTGTTATGAAACTGTATAATAATAATAATAATAGTAATGATGTTCAGTTAACTTTTATGATTTGCTCAATTGTATAAAGCGGTTTGACTAATATAGTAGACCAACTTGTTAGCTTTCCGTATTGGTTTTATTTGGTACATGTGTACGAATCGTTTTTTTAAAAACAACTTATCTCTGTGTGAAGATTTATGTTCAGAATAATTGTTCAAGGAATTGAAGCAATTTGATCATACGTTTCCTATTACATTTATTCTAAAATAATCTAGTTCGAGATATTTCCCTGTTAATTATTTGTATAACAGAAGTGTTATAAATAACGGATTGTACGTTTAGTGTTGGAGAAATTGATTGCCCTGTCATTGTGATAGATTGTCGTCAGTTTTTTTCATCTCACAAGATTGTTTGATTTTTTTAGCCATATAAAACCTTGGAGTAGGATAATTGTATTATTATCCACTACTTATATACTTTGGGTATAACAGTTGTTGGATTGCTATTATGGCTTGTTGTAAAGACTGTTGGATTTACAGCTTCACATCAGGAAGCACTAGACACCTGTGCACGAATGGATTAAAATGGGATGCCAATTCAGTTATCCATAAGTTAATTGTTCGTCATAAGTCTTTAATATCCTGTATTTGGCCCCGAGTGAGGTCGTTGATTTACTCTTCTGAGAGATCCCTTATTAAGGTGAAATTGCTTCTCGGTGCTTCTTCATCTTCGATGATTATTTAACGAAGGCAGATCATGATATGAGACCTTTAGCTAGCAGAATATTTTCATACAAAATGATTCAGAGATTTATATTGATCTTTTTTCAAACTGTAATATCATGCCATTGATGTACTTCCGTAATATTTAATATTTCGTGAGGTTAGAATCGTACGAAGTAGTATTGATTAAGATTTTAGCAGTCAATGCATATTTACTCTTAATGACTTGTTGATGTTACATTTTATAAATTATTCAATACATATCTATAAATTTTTGGAGTTAGGTATGAAGACCGTGCAAGTTGAAGTTCCCTATTTGTTTTATTCACGAAAGTCTCATCTTATTTTTTTCGTATTTCATTATTGTGTTCAATATTTAGGGATTTGTGTGTTTGTTTATACTCTGTGTTTCTGACTGCTTTCTTTAGAAAATTAAATTGATGATTGGCACAAAAGACACTATAAATAACTGCATAGTCGCTGGCATAATAATGTTTCACTGGTTATTTTTTGCATTGAGTGTGTGTGCATGTCTAAAAGATGTTCTATCATCGACAAAATTTTTTATTTCGGAAATGTTAGTCCTTGAAAATTTTTTTTCTTCAGGACGTCTTCATTTTTTTATATTGTGTGATATTCTGCTGTGTTCATGTTTAGTTGATTTCCTCCCTAGGGATTCTACTTCTTCATATTGTATCGTCATGCCCTTTTCAATTGAGGTTACTGTAGTAACAGCTATTGATATTATTGCAAACTCTTTTCTGCTGAATATCACTATTGATTATAAATATACTTGAATATTTGGTTGTCCGACCGGATAAATTCAGTTCTCTGTATATATTGCATCAGTTTCCTAGGTATGTATGTTAAAGGGAAACGAGTTGTTGTTGTTTGGTCATTAATAAATAATCTTTAACAAAGCGATCGAAAGTCTTTCGATGATTACCAGGATCTTGTGTTTCCGTGTTTTTCGTGTTTGTGGAATAACTGTTTGCTCATTGATATTATCATTATATTATAATTATGACAGATCTAGTGCCGGAGGAGGTGATGGATTTTCCTTATCTTCAGTCAACTTCGCACAGTTGCATAAAAAACTTGAAGATCTAGAAGAGGAAAATAATCTACTACGTCAAGAGGTATGTATCAATGTTGTGACTGAATGTTAACATTTATTTCATGGTATATTTAGGTTGCCCCAAGAAATATTGTTATTATTATGTTTTCCGTCCTAATACTGTGACTAGATAATGCCTACGTGGTTTACATCTATTTCTAACGGGTTGCTCTCTTTTGTAAAGCACTTATTTACAACTCTTCTTATGGCGACATTAACTATCCAGACAGCTCCAACTATCGAAATCCTCTTATATATACAGTTAAGTTATCCGGTAATTAACATTCAATAACCCTGACCTCGATTTTATCGTCCCGCTTTACTTCCTATATGTATTCGTGGTACTAAATAACGTGCGGTTTCCCCTTGAACACTGTTTCAACTTAATAAATACTGTAGGCTGGGTTTGAGATTGTTTTATGTGCCTTCAGAAGATTCTCGATCATTTCCTCTGTCGTTCCTTCCCCTTGTGAAGTGAGGACTCGCTTGGATTTATCAACAAAACACAACCTGGCCGTTCAATTGCGGGTGGTCGATCTCTTCCTCGCAGATGCAGACGTAAAGGCGAGTATTGACAAAGCAATGGCCGCATTCCTACAATTGAAGAACATAAGGAACTCAAAACAACTGTTTGTCAACCAATATCAAAGTCACAATCTTCAATACAAACGTCAAGACAGTCAGTTCTACTGTACGGAGCTGAAACTTGGAGAACTGCAACAACCACCATCAAGAAGGTACAAGTATTTATAAATAGCTGTCTACGCAAGATACTCAACATCCATTGGTCGGATACCATCAGTAACACCGAACTGTGGGAGAGAACAAACCAGCTTCCAGCTGAAGAGGAAATTCAGAAAAGACAATGGAAATGGATAGGACATACATTATGCGAATCGTCAAACTGCATCACGAGGTAAGCGCTAACTTGGACTCGTGAAGGGAATCGGAAAAGAGGAAGGTCGAAGAACACATTACGTCGGGAAATAGAAGCAGATATGAAAAGGATGAATAACAACTGGAAGGAGCTGGAAAGAATTGTTTTGGACAGGGTTGGATGGTGAATGCTGGTGAGCGGCTTATGCTCCTTCACGAGGAGTAACAGGCGTAAGGAGGCAAATATTTATTATCAATTAATCAATAATTTTCTAGGTGGATGCATTTTCGGTATCAGACTGTTATATCTAGAGCTTAGATTTTCGTTCTATACCGCGTACTACTTGAGCACTGAAAGGTAAGTGAGGATACAGAAGACCATTGAGAAGGAATGTTATTCCAAACAGTGTAAAATATGGTACTAAACTCTCAGGTATTTATAGTTTTTATTAAAAGTGAGACTATCATTACAGTCATCCAATCTGGGTTCACTGGTTTTTAGCTTTTGTCAAATGAGGAAGCTGCACGTCGAAATCCTGGAATGTTCTTCCCAAAGATGATTGGATGGAATATCCCCGGCTTTTTCTGAGCTTTTTAGAGTTCATCCGGGGGCTGTCCTCACACAGACTGATCGGTTTTCATACTGACTTGATTTTGCTCTTTAGATCATGTTAAATCACTTTCCTCTCATGAAAATAGGTTCGACTGAAAGCACCGGAATCAGCTCACAGTACTTAAAACATGAAAACTGTTTTGTTAGTAAATATGTTGATTTATTTGTCTTACATTTTTCAGTTTCACTCCTGGCGGTTGATTATAGGACGGTAGAAAAAAAATAAAAATCTTCATTTTGATTCATTTAGTTGAGCTTACCCCATGCTTCCCTAATTCGTGTATTACATACGGTATAAGCTTTAAGAATACATATCAATAAACCTAATCTTTATTTGCCAAACTGTACAATCGTATAGAAAATTATTTTAAGTATTGGTTCCGTGAGGACAAATGAACAAAGACTAAAGATGACGATGTAATCGAAAGGTTATAATACTAGATTATGCAACATAGATAATAACAATAAAAAATGTTTACAAATACAAAGCCTTTTAAAATTAAGCAATGAGTTTTAATATGAATGAAGTAAGGTAATTAGAACATTTTGTTACGGTAATTTAAGGTAATAAAGGGGTTAGATTAAATGTAGTGATATCAGAAACGATTCTGAAAGAAATCATGGGGATATGAGAAATAATTTGACAGTGAGGGAGATATTTTCAATTGTGAAATATTAATAATAATAAGTCACTTAGTATATTTGTAATATCCCAATGAGTAGAAAAATTAGATTTTCTGACGTTTCGTGACTCAGTGTAAGTCACTTCTTCAGAGAAAAATAACTAAATATTAATAATAGTTTAAGGCCATCAAAATTTACCAGAGTGAATAAAGTAATCATACATATACTAGATAAGGAAAGGTTCTGATGTAACTTATTTATCTGTTTCATTCCTAGTGATGATATTATCAAAAGACGGTAAACACATGTATTTATTTTTCACAGGGAATTGGCTTTAAGTGTTTGAAGCACCCATTTTTAACCGGTGAGTTACACGTTCGATCCCATTTCCACTTCGATATGACCAGCCGAGTTGTATCATTAATTCCCATATTCACAGTTTCACGCAATGTCGTATACACTCATACTTGAGGGAATAAATAAGTTACATTGATTTGCCACGTTAATTATGTTCATACATCGACTGCGCTTTTTTCAAATCTCCGGATCTATGTTTATAGCTGTTTATTTGACCTTAAATATTTAAGTTTTGTTTTTTCCAACAAGATTGATTCAATTAATCGATTCATTCTATTGTCATTTAGCATGATCATCAATACTATTATTGAGTAATATGAGTTCTAATAAAACCTGTATTGTTATTTGTAGCGTAATCGATTGTCTACTACGGCGGACCAATTAGATGAACATGAAGCTGCATTAGTTCGAGATTGTGCACGTCAATTAATTACTGCTAATATACATATACGTAATTTATCCGATGAGTTGGCTAAGAAGTCTGATGCTTTCATGAATCAACAATCTGAAATTACTCGCCTACTTACAAGAGGTTTAGATTTAGAAAATCGTGTTAAACAGGTAAACTATATTATTATTATTATTATTATTATTATTACTATTATTATTATTATTATTATTATTATTATTATTGATATGCTGAAGATTAACCTCAAATATTATTGATATGTCTTCTGGATTGAACACTAATTTTTATGATTGGTGGTCAACTTTTATGACTGCATCATCACTAATATGTATTCTTTTTGAACGCTCTGCTAATAACGCCGAAACACGACGACGACGTTAGTCGAAAATACACTCATTTATATATTGATTCATACACCCATTTTTCATTAATAATTAGAATAAAATCACATGAAAAATACTTACAGTTATAACAAATCATATGCTGAGTTCAAGAATATCGTACAGAATAAAGTATCATATGAGAAAACAAAACATATACTATACTGAGTAATCACCACATTAAATTAAAACGAAAGTAATGTTAAATAAAGATCATAATGAGTAAATCAATCGAATTTTGACTTTTCTTTTCGTCATATCAATTATTATTATTATTAAACTGTAAAAGATTGATCAATAAAGGATATTTGTGACACTGTAAAAGTTGAATTTACCCAATTGTTAGATTTGTAAAAATGAAGTTTTTGACCTACCACCTTTTTGAAAAAGTTTACCTTTTCCTTGAAAATGGATTTTATTTCTCGGTCTCCAACATCTTCAATCAAGGTGATCTCGAGTGTTGTTAGAGGGATGAGAAGGGTTTTCACTCCTTGGTTCCTTTCTCCGTGGAACAATACCGCTTCCTAAAGGGCCTGAAAAAGAAACTGGGCTGGAGGTAATCTTGATTACCTAGTCCTAACGCACTTCAGTCGACGTGTTTCGTGTGGCAGGACCCAAAAGAAACGAGTCTTCCACCTAATATTACTTGATTGAGTCATCAAGATATGGAAAATTGTCCAATACATCAAGTTAACGGCTACTATCGGGCTAAAGTTTAACCGACCAAGTGGTCGCTGTTTTAAATCTTGCCAGAACTTTGTCTTCGAACACCGATCACTATCCGTAATCCCAAAGAATTGTTTTATCAACTAACTCTTGCTTGCTACAGGCTGATTGCAAATACTAATATTTGGTGAGCCTATGATTGGAATTCCGGGCACACCTTTTTGTCTGGAACCTATCAGCTGGATATACCTGCTTTCCAGTGTTACCATTCGCACTTTTCACTTTACGTCCTGGATTACACTGCTAACCACATACCAAATATAATTTTGACATAGCTCTGTTTTAAGTTAATCTGAATAAGAATGTTGATATTAATCAAATAACTATTGACAATTAGTATTTACTTGACAGTTCATTGTATTTAAGGTTAATCCATATTGTGGTTAGAATTACTGAATTTCAGTGTTAAACGAATGTTTCCCAACGATACCAATCAGCTTCACATCAGATGAATATCTATAGTAGATTAAAAATTAATTATTTTTTGTAAAAGATAATGACAACAACTCTCATATTGTAATTTTTATTGGTTCAAAAAATTTTAATTCTCTTTTTCAAGATAAACCGTAGTTACGTCCTACTGATTCGAAATCTTGACAATTTATTCATGTAGGAGTTCTGTATATTCAGCATGTATTTACTTAATATTTAACCTCTTTCACCAAGCATCGTTATATTGTATGATACAGTCATTTCCAAGCTTCGTAATATCAATCTGCCAAATTCTATGGAAAATAATACTCTGCTTAAATTAAATATCACAACTTATTCTACTTATAGTTTTATCTATGGACTTTATTATTATTATTATTATTATTATTATTATTATTATTATTATTATTATTATTATTATTATTATTATTATTATTATTATTATTGATTTAATTTTATTTCTTATGCTCGTTTAATTCGTGTTCTAATTGTTGAGAATTACATCTCTCCCTTTTTCTGTTTTACTATCTAATTTAGTTGACAGCAGAAAATGAAATGTTAATTGGTCGGCTGAAGGAAACACAAATATCGCAATCATTACTGACAAGTGAATTAAAAAATTCACGTGATAAATATGATGAGTGCCTAACACTTTATAATGAAGCTAGGGTAATCACTGTTATTTATAATAATAATTCTAACCATGTTAAAACTGTTGGTGTTATTTATTTATTTTTATTGATATTAAACACTGGCAGTTGGGTCGAAGGAGTACTGGACAACTGCTTTGTTTATATTTATAAGAAAATGTTAGTAGTGTTTCCTTATTGCTTATTTCCATTTTCGGTGTGTATAGCTCGTGTAACAGGCATCTTTGGGGAAATATCTTTGATTGCTTCGATGTAGTAATGTAATACGACTACCGATTATTTGACCCTGTTACCTCTCATGGTACATAGACCGCTGATCAAGGATCACCAATCAACTTTATCCTCGTCTCTTCTTTCCAGATATCACCAACTGATATTCATAGTCATGCTGTATGCTTTCAACTACCGGCACCATTTGTTATTTGGTCTATCTTGTCTTGCCTTGAGAACCTCAAGTTGGAGCCTGCTTTGTGATACGGTTCGATGGTTTCCGTAAGTCGTGACAGGTCCACCTCCAGAGTCTTTCCCTGATTTCCTCCTAAGCTGGCATCTGGTTGGTTCTGTGCCACAGTGGGTCATTGCCGATGGTAGTTAATGGAAGCAGTTAACATAGATTGCCGATCAGAGGTCTCTAAATAGCTATTTGTGAATACTTGTAAGCTTTTAGTGATGTTAGTGGGGGGTTTTTCGAGGTTTCAGCTCCATACAATGAACTGTTTTGACATTAGTGAAAACTCAGACTTTCTTGTCGAGTAACAGTTGTTTTGAGTCCGTGATGTTCATTAGTTGTAGTAATGAATACCGTTGTCCTGTCAATGCGTACCTTCACACCTGTATCAAATCTGTATCTTAGTTTGTGGATGATGGTGTTGAGGTTCGTGAATAATTGCATGTATTGCAGAGGAGAGCTTCAGTAGCAAGTGTGACTTTATTGGTTCTAGGTTGTGTGCTTTTTGTGATTGTGTGTTTTGCCTTGTTTGTGTTGAGCCCTATTTTTGTGGAAGTGGTTGCTTCACTGACTGTCTTCGTTTGCATTTATTGCTGTGTATGTGTGTGTTTTAATATCAGTGATTGGTTCTTATTTGTTCTTGACTGGTTTCTTATTTTTCTCTGCTCGTTTCTTAGTTGAGCTATATAGTTCCTCACATTTCTTCCTCTTTCAGCTTTTCTTGCTTATCAGCTCTACTTCTCCTCTTCATTCTTTCGTTTGCTTCTGTATATTCTGTGGATGCCTTTAATTCCTCGGCTTTTGTCTGGCTGTTGTTCATTTCTGTCTTCCTGTTTTCCGTTGTAGAATCTTTGTCAAGGAGATCCCTTCTTTATGTTGGTGCTTTTTAGAGCCTAATATCTCTTGACACTTTGAATTTATACCTGTAAAACTTATATATCTTTTTGTATGCACGTGTGAGGGAAAATTCTCCTACCTATGTCCATGTTATTAAAAGCATATAGATCTGTCAGTCTCTCATCATTCTCCTTCCTTTCTCTCAGTCCATGTCGTTCTATGATGTCTTCACACCTGGTGTTGTCAATCCCAACTGTAGTGTTCAGGTTCTTCATCAGGATTGTCAGGCTTTTACCCTGGGAGTTTTTTAAAGATGTACTGTAGACCCCCATAAAGTTGATGTCATCTATGCCGCTTTCGTTGGTGGGTGCGTAACACTGGATGATATTTATTGTAATCCATTTCTTTGTTTTGGAGGATATTTTGATTATTTTTTGGGGCATTTCTGCCTCCCTTGGAGAGCATCAATTCAACTCCTTGTGTATGTGGGGAATTCGCTTCATGAAAAAATTCAGCAACATTTCTCTTAAAGTTAGTTTTTTTCTGTACAGATTATGTTCAATAGGCTGCACTCATTGAAAACATAGCCAGGTTTTGTCTTCTCATTTCCACTGCTATTTAAATGACCCTCTCAGCCTCTCACAATGTTTGGACAATCTGCGTATCTATATTTAATTTTACTCTGGTTGTCAGAGGGGGCATCAACCTCGTGACTTTCAACGAACCTTGGCTTCTACCTTGAACCTTTATAATTTCTTTTACGAAGATCCGTTAACCCTTAGGTTTGTGTAATAATACTCAAATCATTCAGTTATTTAATAGTGTTTCGAATAAGTGTACTATTATTTAAGGCGTAAGTTTCACACAAAAGGTTTTCACATTTGGTTATACGGTTGTAAGCGGTTTCTTCATAAAACGATATTATTATAAGGACAAATGGTAGGATTGTGTTGAATTTTTTCCATGAATACGTTTCGAAATGTTCGAGTAGTTAATTTTAATTTTCTCGGCATAATGGAACCGTATTATGAACTTCCCGATCTTATATTCAGTTTTCTTATACATTAAAAAGTATTTGCCTGATGTAATTTCGTTCAGGGAGGCTTGTTTACTCATGTATATTTTTGAAGATCCTAATCATACATACTACCTTTCATTCTTGTACAGATCAGAATTCGATTTTCATTAAGCTCACTGTATCACTGAATATTGATTCGAACTTTCTGTCCAATGAATTTATTTCCTGTCTTACCTCTGATTGGTTTAGATAATAGGACGCGTAGTTTAAATCAGTGTTACCTACTGTTGTTGCCCAGTTAGTTGTCTAATTTCCTCACAGTAATTAATGGTATATCTATTTAAGTAAGTGAATTTTGATACTTAAAAAGGTGTACTTCAATGAAACACTGGTGAAAGAAATACAAATTAAAAGTACAAGGAGGACCTTTTTTAAAAGAAAAATCTCGTTTTGTCATATTTGTTCTGAATAAATTATGCCAAAAATTATACATGACACTATTATTTCACATATGAAATATTGCTTAAACTTAAAACACATTCTTTCGAGATTTTTTGTTTATTTTTCATACAATTCTATTTTTAAAAGGATAATTTCGTGTTCATTATTCAGTTGTCAATAATAATATTGGTATGTTTACCATTGTTAAAAGAAATCTAGATTCATTGACATAAAGTGAGTGTATCGATGAAGAAATAAATGCTAGCAAGGAAGAGAAAGTAGCAAAAACTCATTAAAATAGTATAGCTTTCAGTGTCTGGTACTATGTCAAGTCCACTTGGGTTATTCTAGCTTTTGTACAGACCTATTTATCTATTCTTTTTCAGCGATATTTTGACCTTATTTTAGTAATTAACCCTGACTTTTTTCATACGAACGTATGTATGCGTATAGTTTGCCTACTCATCATATGTCTGTAACTTATTCCACCTGACTATAAATTCACCCTTGATCAAAATCAGACGGCTCACTCGCCACCTCCAATCCGCTTCACTTTTCCGTTTCCGATTCTCAATATCTGTCTAGACAAAAGAATTCTTGAAATAAATTCCTCTAACGCAACCTTTATTTGGCTTCTTAATACCACCGTCACACAAGCGTGTTTAATCCAAGTAATATACGTAATTAAATGGACGATTTCTGTCCGTACCATGTTCATACGTCCATCCAAATCGGAGTCAGATCAGTGGGCTACAAAAAGCTATTCCTTGGTGAATGAGTTTTTCCTATTTTTAGTATCTGTTAGACAGTCGGTTCACTGGTTTATTTGTCGGAAATCTTGTTTGTAAGTCACCATCTCAGACACATTGGTCATTTTATTATCTTTTAATGCTCTTAAACCATAGTTTAATGGAACTATAGGTATATTACTCATCTTCATGTCAAAATATCCTAGTTCCATGCTTTCTGAGATTTGTTATATGTGGTGCGTTGTAATCGTATATTTCAATTATATGATTACGTGAGTCATGAGTTTAAATAATGGAAGTATTTACGACCACTCATCTGGCTTTCCGATCTCTCGATTGGAGGTGTTAGAACATAGTTTATCGATCGCGCTACTAATACATTGATGTTTATAGGGTTATTATTACTTGTGTAGTGATAAGCATTGACTTATATGAAATGTTTATACTTAACTATATCACATATACTACCCTAACTTAGTTATAAATTGTTTTTGAGAATTGAGACATAGGTCAAGATACACGAATTAATACTTTAAAGTCTTCAGTGATATTATGCAGATGTATATACTTGTAAATTCTAAACACGTCTGTGTAGCTTTCGTGGACTCACCTATTTTCGGGGTATTTCATCATACAAATTTCATTGATCCATTCTTTGGATCATAGGTGTATCATTTCAATCTTTGTGTTATTGCTTACAAACTTGTGAACTAGACTATTAAATTAACCTTAGTAACTAGACTAGGGATGAGATGTTGTTTATGCCAACGAACATGGGAGCTAGTGATAATGTTCAATCCAAATATAATTACAGAAAATTAAATTAAATTGCTTATGAGTGAATCATGCTAGCAAATTCAAAATGTTTATCTTTACAATACAATTTTTCCAGTCCTATCTAGCATTGAACGTCTACTTTTCTCGTTTTAGTCGGAAATTCGGGCCCTACGTAAACGTTCTCGTCGTGGTTATTATCGTCCTAATTCACTTATATCCTGTAGTTCTGTAGTGAACACTGCAGTGTTACCCTCACTACCACCTTCTTATTTAAATGGAGCCGCTTTAACACCACAGTCAGATCCGGATCCTATGCATTACTGTCATCATTCGTCATTATCTGCTCATCAGCTAGCCAGTGATGGCAGTACATCTTCTCTGGATATGTTGACTACACAAAATCCAAGTTCAGATCATGTGGAAACTTCATTAGCAGCAGATTTGGTACATGCAAGAATGAAAGAACATGCGAAAGATAATATGTATGTTTTTTGATTAACATCAAACTCTAACAAACTATTATTGTAACTTTCAACTGTTATCCAACTGTATAATTTAACAGTCTTTCTTGATCTATTGTTTAGATGAAAAAATGAGTTATGTAATGATTTTAAAACTAAAATACCCGTTGTTTGAATTAATCACGATGTTCTACAAAGTTTTTCGACCCAGCAACGCTATATAACCGTTGTTGAGAGATATACCACGTTCGTTGTTATGTGTTTTACAGGAATAACTGATAGAAATGATAGCCTACAAATTTTTGTCATTTACCTTTAAAGATTTGAAAATAATTCCGGTTCATAGTAATGCCGGGTTATTTAACTCAATGATTTACTCTGATCTGTCCGTTGTAACACCAATTATTGTGAAATCTATTATAGTGCTGGTGTTCATCATTTGATTTTTCATGCAGTAAATCTGCTTCAGTTAATTATTCACGAATATTTCTAGTTACCGCCCTGAATTTTGTGTTCTTAATCTGTAATTCAGTTCTGTTCCGGTTGCAAATACTACACTACGTTCTAGTTGTGAATAATCTTGGAAGACATTTTATTTGAAGTTATTCCATTCCTGTTTACATTGTCTATCTAATGTGTAGTTAAATTTAGTTTTCTCACTCCACTTTAGAAAGCATTTATTTCGAGCAATGGATCAAGTTCGTCATACGCGTACACTCAGTAATGGTCCCACTCCTACTCCTACTGCTACTACCACAATTAATCCTAATGATGACGATAACAGTAGCCATAATATTATACTGATTGAATCAGGTCTGGAAGATACTGTTTCTAGCAGTGGTTTTGTTAGTGGGTCAGGTAATTTTCTTTTTTTTTAAAAAAAACTATCTAATCACTTCGTCTTTGTATTCGTGGTGAAACTATAATTTATGGACGACCTTTGAGCAATGCTGAAATAACCTTGAATATGTAAAGGACTAAATGAGGATTATAAAGCAGCGTGAGGAATTAGATGTAGGGTTTTCATAATGAACTGACATCAACTATAATAACGAAATAGTATTTATGAGTGGATGAATTTTGCGCTAAAATCCAAGTCCTGTTATCTCAAATTTGATTAGTTCGTCTCAGGATTGGGTTGCATTGACACCCGAACTAATGATGGGGAGTGAAGTAATTGAGCGTGCCGATCGCTTCACTTATCTTGGAAGTCTCATCAGCCCTTGTGGTCTGGCATGTAACGAAATCTCAGCACGGATACAGAAGGCTCGACTAGCTTTTGCCAACTTGCGTCATCTATGGCGTAGGCGAGATATCCGTCTATCAACCAAAGGACGTGTTTACTGCGCATCAGTTCGTTCCGTCCTACTTTATGGCAGTGAAACATGACCGGTAAGAGTAGAGGATATTCGTAGGTTACTAGTATTTGATCATAGGTGTCTTCGAAATATTGTTCGTATATCATGGGACCATCGAGTAAGTAACACAGTTGTTAGAAAACGGGTACTAGGTAAGGATGGCAAATCAATTGATGACGTAGTGAAACTTCATCAGTTGAGATGGTTGGGACACGTGTTACGTATGCTCAACCACCGACTACCTCGACGTGCGATGTTCAGTGGTATAGGAGTAGGTTGGAAGAAAGCTAAAGGCGGCCAGACCAAAACATGGCACAAGTCCATGAAGTCACTGACAAGTGGACTGAGTCATGTTGGTAGGTGTAGACTACCTGGTTGGGGACCGCGAGATGATAGCAACCGATGGTTAGAGACTTTGAATGACATGGTTCAGAATCGTTTGCAATGGCGCAGGTGCATCTACTCTTTGTGTTCTCCCAAATTTTGATCTCCTTATTCCTCCTTGTCTCCTTTTTTCGTCTTTCCAAATTTATTTCGCTGTATTATACTTTTTAAATAACATCTCCAAACACTAATTTTCCCGATTACTGCTTATACTCTTATTACCTCTACCACTACGGGATTTGAATCGGCCACTACATCTGTGTGCTAATGTGGTGTGGCAACTCGAACTGATGTACGTACGTACGAAGTTCTACGTTGTTACTGACTGACCATAAATTATAGTCTCACCGTATTCGTTTTTGTTTTTATGTTAAGTACATATGATATGGGCATATGTTACCAAGATGTTCATGGTTTTGTTCCAATACAAGCAGTTGGTGGGTCTCCAGGACGTTTAGTTTAGTTCTTGTTAGTATTTTTAGTCTACGTCTGTTTACCTTATCTACATGTTTTTTCTGAACTTTCCTTTCTTCTGTAATCTAACAATATTACTGTATTATGGATTGTAAATAAGTATATTCTTTAATCGGGAAATAATTAAATTTGAAAATAGGTAGTCTACTATGTACTTATATGTGAAGAAGAACAACGTAAACTATCGGTCAGTAAACTTAATGAATAATTACAATTACTTCATTGTTTGTTCCATTTTGTATGTATGATTCGTAAATTTTCACATTTATCATAATAACTGATTAGTCGAAGCGTAATTGATTTTTCATATATACTCTTCTATAGTTGTAGGGTTAAAATTTTTAGAAAAAAGTAGAAAAAAAATGGTTAATAGTTTTGCGTTTACTTTCTCTTAAAATAAAAATTAATAATTTATACTCTGAATAATATTCATAAGAAATTCTGTTTTATGTAATTGTCTTTGGGATTATAATTTCTATGTACTTGAATCTTGAGAATTAAACTGACTTCGCAAGAAACATGATCTAAAATGTTGAAGTATTGTATTCTCGGGAAAATTATGTATAATGTGATATACACTTTAGCTTATCTACTAACGTATACGCTTGCAATATTTGACCAACCTAACTAAACCAAGGTCACATAAACTTCATTTACCAAACAACAATGCTTACAGCTCTTGCTTATATATATATATATATATATATATATATATATATATATATATATATATATATATACAGAGAGAGAGAGAGAGATCAACATAGTGTGCATATGTACGATACACTTTGATCAGCTGACAAATCATTTGTTCATCGTGTCTAGTTCATGCTTTCATTTGATCTTTCGTATAATCTTGACACATCATGTAACTTACTAAATCCTATTTAATACTCTTACCTAACATAATGGCTGCACTTTTTATGTCGAATCTTCATTACTCATTTTTAAAAATACTAGATAGACGTGTAGGTGAATGATTCTTTATTGACTGTATCAGAAATTACTCTATCATTTTCTAAAATGCATTTGTTTAAATATGTGAATTAAGTTAGTACATTAGTACATATACTTTTTATGTTAAATTGTCTTTTTTTCCAGAACCGTCAGATAATCCTCACAAGCAAAAATTTGTTAAAAGTGAACAAACGTCTAATTCTGGAAGTCCTTATTCAACTAGACCATTTATCCCAGATTTTATCACACCTATTCGCTTGGCTGATGCTGACAGAAGGTATATATATATATATATATATATATATATATATATATATATATTACTTCGTGTGGTATATAGCAACTCTGTTTATGGACATATCAAACGTTGCTTCATCGTCATAGTGTAAATCATTCATCAATATTCGGCCACTGTTGAGAACCAGGAAGCACTGAATAACTGTTTCATCCTAGTGTCGGACTCCTCAACGCCACTCATCCACGACCCCATCAGAGATCGAACTCAGAACCTTCGGCTTCGTAAGTGAATGCATAACATCCAGACCGCAGAAGGGGTCCAATCGTGTGTGTATTTAACTGTAATCGATTCGCGACGGACTGGGCAGCTCCCCAATGCTTCCTGGTTTTTAATAATGGTCTACTAATATCAGTCCGGAGATTTAATAATCTCCACAAGACCCTTGTACCAATACTTTCATCTAATGCGTTTTCTATTTAATAAATGTAGTTATGTTAGAGTTAATCAACGATGGTAAAATTGTATCGCTGTTGTGTTTAAATTTTCATCTTCACCTGAGTACTGTCTTCATTTTTATTCTGACTGTCAACCTAATCATAAGACTGTTGACTGTTCTTTGAACCCCCTTTTTCTGTTTTCGTTACAATAGTATATGCTTGATTGAGTGTAACGTGGCGTCTAAATCCGACTAGCTATTTTCTATATGGCGATTATTTTTGGGTGTTGTTTTTGTTTAAGTAAGCTAAAAGTGGTCAAACGGAGGAATGCTTTTTGCCTTCTGTTTGAGTCAGTGAATAATTATCATTGAAAAAGCTAGATATTTATTTGTTGATATAAATTTCTTGAATTTCTGTCTCGTATCAATCGATAAGTGATGCGTATTGCAGAAATATTTAGTGACTTTATTGGCCGTCATATTTATTATCGTGGTGTATGATACATCGTGTAGATGGATAAATAGGTGTATAGCCTCATTGGTCATTATATGACGACCTCAATCATCTCAGTATTTTAGTTCACATTCTCTTTGTCACTGTAAGTGATCGAGATCATCGTTCTCTTTTTTAATTATTTTGTTTAGAAATTCTCATCCAAATTTACGTTTGTCATTTTAATTAGTGATAATTCATTATTTCTGACCAGTGTAGTTCGTTCCCAATTTTTCTAACGTTCTCAATAGTAGCTTTTGGTAGTATTATTTCTGCTGAGTTATGTTTTAAGTAGTGATTAGTACCAAATTGCACAGTTTTGAATACGATTTCTTAATAGTAAGGGTTGTATATCTAAACCAATAAAAATAAAACCAAACCATATCCACCTGTCCTATAACAACATCTTGCTAAGAATATCAACCAATTTTGTTGTATTGCGTATGAAATGTTGTCAATTTATCAGCCACTTAATGTATTTACTTTGTATCTTTGCTAAGTATACATATATTTCTCGCTCTCTCTCTACCTTTTAGTAAATCTAATTTGGTAAATTATCGCCTTCATCAGTCTACAAATCCGAATTATTTACTCGAGTCTGAAAAACGACATAGTTGGCTTGGTTGTGACGTAACTTCTAATTTATCTGACAAAGGATATTATTCAATTCCTGATAGTGGACTGAATTTTCAAAACAGCTTTGATGATAGTCTACTTTCATGTGATCCAAATGTGGTCTGCACTAGTAAATCATATTGCAAGTAAGTTTCTAGAGTCAATTGTGTTAAACATTATACTTTATTGAATGAAATCTGATTAATTACTATCTTTCTTCATGTTAATTGAAATGAAATAATTATTGATTGCTATTACAGGAAACTGGACTCTCAAGTTATTTTTTGTCGGTTTATGAGCTGTTTGTAATTTTCTAGCATCTTCTTATATTCATCAGTTGTCATTTGGAAATTATGTAGACTAGTTTTTAGTAACACAGTGCTTACCATATGCATTATTTGGTGTAGCTTAATAGATGTCATGATGATAGTAATACATTAGTTTAAATTTATATTTTTGTTAACAACACTAAAGAATACAGAATAATAAAAATTCCTCAATTACAAAAATGTTTCCCCACTAATTTTAGGTTACTTTCTTTTACATCCATGGAAAACTGGTTTAGTATTAAAGACGTACAACTCAAATAATAAGCCTGAAGTTTTATCCTCATGGCGCTTACCTCGGTTCGGGCAGATGATTGATATAAGTAGCCACAACACCTTAAGTTCAACTAGAAGTTTGGCACACAAATCTGTTTGTTAGGTTATGTATATTTATCTACATTCAATTATCATTCATAACAACAATAGTTAAAGTGTTTACCATTGTATGGAATGTATATTCTTTATTATTATTATTATTATTATTATTATTATTATTATTATTATTATTATTATTATTATTATTTAGACTGCCTCAACGTTTGAAGCTGATTAAACCATTAGATGGTTCTAATGTTCTTCAACATTGGCAGCATTTAGCTACTCCTAGTTTTACCCGGGCACTTTTTGAAGCCCCACTACCTGGAGTTCAAAGTCGTGCTGGAGTATCAGATTCAACCAACACAAACTGTTCGATAATTGCTAACACGACCGACTCTCGACAACGTCCTGTTTCAGTCGGATCATCACCTTGTATTTCAACCAGTTCTGAAATTTCACTGAAATGCAGTAGTCTGACTGCTCATTCGCCTCCGGATTTGCCACAAGGTAATTCTCTCTCTACTTTATAATAAATAATAATTATTATTATTACTATTTTAAAATATCTAGAAACTGTCTATGGACAAACATTGCTTCACACTAATAATGACTTATAGAATGTGTAACCTGAATAAAAACGAATCTTAGCTTGTATTTATACACGTAGGCGATTTAACGAAGTACAATGCAAATTTCACATTTTTAAACAAAATTTTTCGTGCGACCACTTGTATATTTTTTATTAGAAATACAATTATAATTTGTTGTAGCTCAATACTAGTTACAAATCTAGTCATTTTTATGTGTGCACATGCTCTCACATGATTTCAAAACATTCTCTGCAAATAGACGACTCTTAATTGACATATAATAATTTCTAAGACTTGATACTTGAGTATGTAGACTGTTCAAGGTACATTGATATTATCAGCATTAAGACATTCTTGTTTTTTCTAATGAGAAAACAGATTTTTTAGAGATCATATGTACATAAAATGTTCTTGAATATTGAAGTAAAGAACACAGTTGAAGTGGTTCACTGTTTTTATCTATATGTTTTTGATTTTCTGATCGATTCAACATTATCGTGTGTTTTTTGTTGAACATTTCATGCATATACAACAGGTCAACCAAGTATGAGATTTGTTCAAGAATCGCTAGAGAAATGTACTAATTTAAAGTAAGTTAATTAACTTTCTTGATTGATATACCTGTAGAATAAATAAATCATAATGTATTCTATTTAATCAAATTTATGTATACATTGACACATCCAAAAATTACCGATTAGAGAATGTGTTATATAGTGTACATTAATATTATTGAATTATCTGGCATATGTGATAATTATGTGTTGGATGCTACTTATATTGACAGATATAAATAGTATGTATCACCGGTCAGAGATGGAATGCCTGTCAAAAGAGGATTGCGAAAACTGAACTAAAGAAAACAAAAAGGAATGTACTACAATTTAGAAAAGCTTTGTTTTTAATTTATAGTAGTTATTATCGTCATGTACAGGCGCTAATTGTATATTCTAAGTTTTGTTATGATCTACAAAAGTATAGAAGTACTTGATATGAAAGCAATAGAAACTAACAATAGGTCAACTATAAATCATATTCAAGTTTTAATTCTTTTAAGTACACGTTGTCGATGAGTTACTATAGTTGTACGCTTCTCTATATAATCTTTTTTTTCCATAAAACCTTAAAGAAACGCTGAAATTAATATTAAGTTTGTTGTTATTTGGTGTTATATCATTGTGCTTGAAATCTTTTGTACACTATACTAGCTGTTGTTGATAGACATATTCGAACTCTGTCAAATTACTTTATAGAATATTAATCTACTATTTCATAAGCTTTTTTAAAATCATTTTGTGAACCACCCAATCAACCGTGAATCATAAGCTGACAGGATTACACGTTCTATCGATCTACGTGAGCTCGGTAAAATTAAAACAATCATATGCATGACCGTGATAGGCCTCAGTGTATACTACATAATCTTGTAGGTATGAATAACTCAATTGTTTAATTTTCTGATCGTAGATTCTACGACAATTTTGGATAATGTCAATCCAATGTTACCGCGTAACAATGAATAAACTTATTAAGAATTGCTATTCAATACACTTGATATCTTAATAAGTATCATCTGTTCCTGATGGTATTGCATGCGTTTTATGTGCACTAGACACTCAAGAAATAGATCGATATCTTGTTCATAATTCATGAATTATTTAATTTCTATCATAAACCTTTTACAAACTTTCACTAGGTTTTAACTAGATCTAAACATGTAAAACAACTAAGTGTATTTTCTGTATGCTTATTTTTCTACTTGGGATTCCTGACTGAATTCGGTTTACTATTTATTGCATATTCATAACTCTGAAATACTTACAAATGACTGATCACTGAATAGTGATCGAATTCTGTTGAACAAATTACAAAGAAGCCAGTAGTCTAAATGGTTTAACATTATTTAATCAGCAGGAAATCATGGATTTAGGTTGTCTGCTAGTTTGCACTTATCAATAAACCTTACCTGTAAGTTTGAAGGAATTGAAGAGTACCAACTATCATAAAATCTATTTCAAATAAGCTGTACTGGCAACTACCTCCAATCACTTGATGTGAAATATTTAAATAGCAATTCTTTAACCTTTTTATTATATATATATATATATATATATATATATATATATATATATATATATATATATATAACTAAACAGTAGGAAATATTCACTTAGTTGTACATTCTTTTCTTTAATTGTTTTTTTTCAAAACTAGCTGTATTTATCAACCATTAAAAATCTTATAGTAGGTTGTTTCATTTAATTCTACCGTCGAACAATAATAATAATAATAATAATAATAATAATAATAATAATAATAATAATACGAATCGATGCATTTAATTTATTGTTTTAAAAAGGGCATTTTACATATAATTATTATCTTTCCCATTCAAATTTGTTGGTTTACTGTAGGATTTAGTATATTTTTATTTGTTTGTCCATTTAACTGTTGTGCATCATTTATGTTTATGTGGTATTTGTATGAACTAATGATATCCTGGTACTTGATTCCTCACTTATTACGAATTCCAAATACAACATGTTCATTTGTGCTCATCTAGTTCTACCCGGCTTGATTTGCACTATTTTGGGGAGTCTTAGTTAGTACATTAATTCGGATACTTCTGATTACCATAGTTTATCACATACAAATAGGTGTTTTAGTTTAACTCAGTAGATATATGTTAATATAACTGTATTGGACTACTGATTGTGAGTTACTTTTTTTTATTAATGTACCTAAAATTATAGAGTTAGGTGTACCGTCGTTTATTTTTATTTGTTTTGTTTTTTCTGAGAAAAAAGTTGGTGTATGTGTTTGTGTGGAGTAGTAGATTGCACTGAATTACTGCTTCTATTAAGTCTACTAGTTTTTCCTGTTATTGGTTACACGTATAGTTGTGCTGTATTCAACTGTTTCAGCAAGCTTATTTATAGTTGTAATATTTTAAAACTTAGATAAGTATTTGTGAATGTAACCATGTGATCAATGAACTTTTCTCAACACGACATTGTAATATAAGGTTACTTAATTAGTAGAATATTGTATAATATACCTACAAAGCAATTATTGAATTAATTATTATTATCAGTTTAATATTTTAATTATTCATTGAACAGATAACTAGATAGACTGACATAAGACACGCGATGATGGCTGATTTAGGAGGTTAGAATAAAGGTTAGGAACAGCCAAACTAAGACATCGGACCAGTTCACGAGAAGAATGACTGTTGGATTGAGCCATGTAGGTAGGCGGAGACTATCTGATTGGGGTCCTCGTGGTCATCGAGACTAATGGTTAGAGATTTTATGTGATATTGCTCAAAATCATTCGTAATGGCGTAAGTACATTCACGCTTCTTATTCTCTTGGATCCTTAGCCTCTAAATTCCTCATGATTTATTATTACAGCAGTTTATATTTCTTCAAATTGTGCCTTCGATACCTAATCCTTTTTATTACCACTAATACCGTTACTACCGCTATTATTCTGAGATATACTCTGACAATTTACTCTTACTGTACTCATGAGGTATGGCAAATTGAATTGATGTACACATGTAGCAAATTCTACTTTCCGTCCGACTAACATAAGAAATAGTGAATTAAAAAGAGATCACACTAATTGAAAGAATACTGTAAATACAAAATTAGATAAAGATATCTCTCATCTATGGGTTGTGACATCCACTGGAGAATTATTCAGAATAAAGGAATTCTGAGCAAATGTTTCACACTTATAATATCATATTCAAGATTATGGATTTAAGGTCTTCTTATTTCATGATAAGTGCGATATAAGAACAAAAGAAGTACCGGCTATTCAGTGTTGCTTGATTTTCAACGAATCTTCACCTACTAAAACACTTCAAATTGCGAACTAACTAATCACTCAAATAAATTATGCTGTTCAATAAATTTCTGCATGAAAGATTATTGTACCGTATTTCAGGTGGTTTTACTTCAGTAGTAATAATAAAACAGTTTTAGTGGTAGTTCGTACATCTAGTCCATTATTACTCAGTGTTTAGCATATAATTGAACTGAAGTAGATCAAGTATTAGGATAATAGTAGTTATAATTCATCAAAAATAATACACTAATGTCATTAACGAGGGAATTGTAACATTTTACTATAAGATGTAAATAATATGTAAGTAATGTTGGTGAAAGTGGTTTTGATATATGATTGCTTTCTCATGTCATCAATTTGAAGATATTTTTAACTCGTTATCCATAGTTTCTTCTATTATCTTGTACAAAGAGAGCGAAAAAGTATGAGTTGAATAAGATTATTCTGTTGATTTCTTTAGGTTCTTTTCAGCTGCTTACAGTTTATAATATTTGAAAGTCGAAATTACAAATGTTACCGATGTATCTTAAACTATTTACATCATGAAATTTTTTTCAACTCTTTCTATTGACTACATGATCATAATAAGTTGAAAAAAATTCGGTGAATTGAGATGAATCCATGTCATTCTGCTCAAATCTCTTTTCTCGCCTTCTGTTTCTAGCATTAAGGATTTCTTATTATTTAACTAGACTCCAATTCTCAAGAGCTTACAGTTTACTCGTTGAGATGCAACTCATTGGTTTACATGTTCGGTTCGCCCTACACCTGCTTTCGTTTAGGGAGCTGGTTGGTATCACCAGTCCACTTGTAAAGCTTATCACAATGAAACTGGAGTACACCTATCTGAACTTATAAATAAAAATAATATATTTGTAATATCCCAATGAGTAGAAAATTGGATTTTCTGACGTTTCGTGACTTCGTGTAAGTCACTTCTTCAGAGAACTTAGTTTGTTGGGCTTACATAGTGATTAAACATGTTAGCACACACATATTGGGGCTGTGTTCACTGACTAAATGAATTTATGTTGTGCAACTGGGCGCTTTTTTTAAACTACGTTATTTACTCTAACCAAAACACATGTGCTAAATAAACCACTAAGAAACAAGATATATTGTAACAACCATATCTTGGTGTATTTAATCAAAATAGTTAACTGATACACTACCAATGAATCCAAATGGTTGCCAATTTTATTTTCTGTGATCATATTACAAATGTCAGTTTAATTTTACTCTGAGTTCTGAAGATAATCAGTGGAATAAATACACTTGAATTGAATTAACCATTTAATAACTACATAGTTTCATACCTCTAATTTTTTTATTCCTTCGGTGTTTTTATCTGTGGTGTGCGTTGTGAATATGTTAGTTTTGTAATAATTTTACGTACCTTTTCGTTTGGTTTGTTAAATGTTGGATTCATACTACTCATGAATATTCAGTTTCAGTGATAATACTTTGGTGTTTCTTTAGATGTGTATGTTCTTCATATAATTTATAAGGTTATTTGAAAATAGAATATAATCCATGATAGTTGTTTACAAAATATCTAGTTCTTGGTTAAGAATATTAGAAGTCTTGTCTTTTTAGGGGAATTATTGTGGTTGGAGTGCAGTCACTTATTTGTCTGGTTTTTTTCTTAGTGAACTATCTGTGATATTCTTGTCTATGGCTACTGTCAGCACGATTGGACTTTAAATCAGGACTAACACACTACTTGAAAGCATTCGTTTCTTTATTTAATATCGGATATTTTTCAGTAGACTCTTAAAATAGGAATATAAAACAGTCAATTAGTAATTTTTTTCTTGTAAAACTCCTTGATCAACTGTTATCCGTTATCAGTTAGAACTATTGTTTCTTAGGAATGAAACATTTTCTCCTTAAAATCTCCACTCATGGTCCGATTATTAAACTGCTTTCAGGTATGTTTTCTAGGAAAAAGTATGTTTTACTATATTTGTTACCATTATGTACAAATTGTGTTCTTGTATTTTGCAGCCGATTTGGATTCAATTCATCAACATATTTGCTGAATAATCAACTAAGAGCACGATCGTTAGATCATTTAGTAACAGGATCCCCATCCTTATCGTACAGTGATAAAAATAGTAATAATGATTATAAATCTATCCAGTTTAATCAAGCGTTTGATCATGTAAAAAGCGACGAACCTGCATCATCATATCTTACTTCATTTTCCCTAACTTCATTAGTGTCTGCTATATTGCCGTTCACTACTGCTGTTCTCCCTTCATCAGTAGTATCGTCATCTGACCCAAAAGGTGTCACAATCAACGACAAATTAACAAAAGCAAATACACGACTCAGTGAATCAACACATTTGCGACCGAAATGTCCATCATCATCAACAGCGGTGACTGGTCTACAAGGTTTACTTGATGTAAATAAGGAAGATGCTGATTCGTCAAAATCATTATTACATAGAACGTCAACATCAAAATCAATTGATCGTAGTGCATTATCTCCTAATAGCAATGTACCAAATTCAATTGCTCTTCCAAACCCTCAACCTCCAGCATTAATTTCGCCAAGCGTTAATCGTACTGCTATTTCACATTCACGTCCTGTACGTACTAGTAACTTGACAGAAATCACTGAAGAGTCTGGTTCACCACCGAAATCAGAAAATGGTCAGAAATCATTGATATCTTCGGAAAATCAACAACAACAACAACCACAATCTGAAGTAGTAGTTGTTTCAGAAAGATTGAAAAAAAATTCAGAATAGTAGATTCATTTGAATAATAGAGTTGTTGTTCATTAGTTGTATTATTGTCACATATATATTAAACATTTAGAACGAATTATTTAATATTATATCATTTGTGTACCAGTTCCATATGAAAATTTTAGTCTTTCATTATATATATATATACTTGTGTTTTCCCATCATGTATTTTTACTACAGTGATCCTTACCAATCAATCACACATAGAAACTTACACATTACGTTACAAAAATTACATTTGTATAAAGCAGAACACTTCTAAGAGAGAGAAAGAGAGGATAAAAAATCTGATTATTTATCGTGTATTTAACATTATCTTTTCCATTTTTCTTCGTGTTTTCGTTCTTCACTTTAATTTTTTTATTTTGTCCAGTTTAATTAATATTGAAGGTATATTTCGTTGAGTTGTTAATCTTTCATTTTCATAATTCATGTTTTTCTTCAATAGATTATTATTGCTTGCATTTGAACTATCGTTTTTTGGTTTATTTCCATTCTTTATTGTTTTCTGTTTTTGATATTATAATATTTGTTATCTCCTATCGTATAAGATTGATAATCATTTTAGTGTAACAGAGTTATAACAAAGCATGTGAAGTAATCATGATTGATCACATTGGAAAATAAACACTTCATAAGAATAAAGTTGAATTTTTTGGCCAAAAAAAACAATACGTTCCACTAGTACTACTAGTTTGTTAAGTTAGTAGTGTTATTTTGGTTTTATAAAAAATTTGTCGTTGCGACTGGTTGCTTTGTTGAAATTTGCCTGATTCCTCAGACATTTGTTGTGTACTTGTTTAGTTTACATTCTGTTTTTTCCTATGACCCAGTGACATTATTTTAGCCCCACTTTTTATTGAAATAAAATAAATCATTAAAATTAAGTGGTATTTGTTAATTCTATTTTGTTATCGGAGTAGTAGTTACACAAGTGATTTGTATTCCAACTATTATTACTATCTTTGTACATGGTTATTAGATGGTGCTTACGTATTGTGGTACAAATATATAAGGACCATACGCTGAATACTTCATTTGCAAATTTTCATCATTTGTCTTCCACATTCTGTGTGGTTCTTCCGATCCACAATTTCTTTCTAATTCCGTCTCTGTTTTCTCTTCAACTTGGTCTTCCTAGCCCTCTGCTACCAGGGTTTCCACTTGCGATTGGTGTTACATACTACTCATATCTCGACACAAGTAGCATACACTACATATTTACTAAAAAAGATTTGTATGAAAAGATTAATTCAAGTGGCAAACTAAAAACTAGTTCAGACAGGATGGTGAAAATTGTTTGTTGCAGTAGTTTTGTTTATTCACTTTGATTTGAAGATATTTTATCTAGTTACTCCATTGTATTAATGATTCTTTACATCTTATTTTAGAAATGACACGTATGTGAAATATGTCATTTGACTAAGCTTGGAAACTGTTTCTTATTCTATCTACATTCTATGCTATTGAGCTTTTAGTTATGTCCAATGAATCTAGGTAATTCACATAACACATCGGGATGTTCATATTCCAACCTAGACTAATCGAATTTTAGTCAGAAATATCAACGCCGAAATAATCCAAACTGCGTAAAATGAAATTATATCATTGATGTTATCATTATTTCAGTTCATTTACCGTTCATCTTAGTTTCATATCACCGTACTTACACAATATGGCTTATTAGGGTTATACATATTTGTTCCAGGCTTTTTGTTCATTGTAAATTACTGAATTAAATTGACAACCCACTTAATGTGAAATGTTCTATTGAGAAAACTGTAGTATGCACAAATGGAGTAATATATTTCTAAAGGAGGAAAAAGGTAGATAAATGAAGTTATGCAGGTAAACGAACCCTGTCTTATAAGAGTAGGATTTCGCCTACTAGTCAGAATAAGTTTTGCAGTGAACTTTATAAATAAATAGCTAATAAATTTAGAGCATAATTACATGTATCGTTGCGATTATAGTTGCTATTGTTTTAAAAGTTTAACATAATATGATAAAAGAATTGTTGGACGAAATCTTGTACACAAGCTGTCTTATCAAATACTATTTTCGGTAAATCTTTGCAAAACGTAATTTTGTGTATAAGTGGAATTATCAACTACTATTATGAGAACGGTAATTGTTTAGTACAGTAAATTGAATGAACTGGTCGAAATGTTTATTCATCAAGGATCTGCATGTCAGTGGGACTTGATGATTAAGATATGCTGAAACAGCAAAGATGTAAACGTGAATAATTGAACTTCAGTAGCAACCTACATCCGAATTCACATCATTAAGTTCATTCCTATATTGACAAATTACCATTAAAGTTTTGACTTACAAGTGAGAAATATTTAGTAAACTATAAAAGATAGACTTATTATCTATCATTTGTGAAACTCACATAACATCAATAATTGGATCCTTCAATAAAGTTGAACAGTACTAGTCAGTGCGTGGTTCATAATAATATATTAATTAGTCCTGTTTTTCAATTTCATTTCATTTCCTACCAATTTAGTTCTTCGTATATTGTTCATACTACTTACTAATTTTCAGTAGCTTGTATTATTATCATCCACTTCTGAGCATGTAATTTTATTATCTGCGCAATGTACCGAAGTTATTAAAGAGAAGCAACTTGCGTAATTTGTGCACGATAGAAATATATTTTGGTTTTGTCAATTGCTAGTACTGGAATGAAATAGCTTCTTTCTCTCTTACAATCTAGTAGATGCCTATTATATATTGTATTTAATCACCAGAAGTAAGCCCCTTGAAGCGTTAATAACATTTAGATACCTCATGGATTGAGGTTGGAATTCTGATTGATTTTGTCATTTTTTTCATCTAACAGCACTGTTAGCCGACAAACCTCATGTTTTAATGTCAAAATTTTTCTCGTTACTCAATCGTCTGGTCAAAATCCTCAGAAGTATTCTATGAACACAATTTAATAGCAACTATGTTTTTTTAATACATACATTTATGAATTTGAATAACGTAGGAAAAACAGTTAATGCAGAATAACATAAATTCATTTTTATTTCGTAGTTTCTCATTCGTTGCTCACAATAGCATTAATATTGAAATATCATATGTATGTATAGCGATGGTCCTTGCCGTTTCGATTTTTCAGTCATCACTGTTCATCAACTAATATTAATTTATATTTCCTTATGAATTTCGGTTGTAAACAGCTTGTAAGAAACTATGAAATCGAAATGAAGTTTTCTTATTGTATTTCAATAGTCGTATTGTTTTTATTGACTTTCTTCTAATTTCAATTGTTCTTTTGTATTCTATAAAATAGAAGAAAATTGGATTGTTATCTTTAATTTCGACTGTTAATTAACTTTTTTCTCTTTTTTATATTTTGAAAAACAATGTATAATAAAGCGTATCTTGTTATGGTGTTCTGATAAAACATTCAGTTGGTTTGCTAATTAACTGATAACCAATGTATCATTTCGATTTATGTTGTCAGAAAAGACGACTATTCATTTTAAAATTCAAGTCATGACTTACTTACTGGACCTGTTACCACCCTTGGAACATAGATTGCCGATCTAAGGTCTCTAAATAGCTATTTGTGAATACTTGTAAGCTTTTAGTGATGTTAGTGGAGGGTTTTCGAGGTTTCAGCTCCATACAATGAACTGTTTTGACATTAGTGAAAACTCAGACTTTCTTGTCGAGTAACAGTTGTTTTGAGTCCGTGATGTTCATTAGTTGTAGTAATGAATACCGTTGTCCTGTCAATGCGTACCTTCACACCTGTATCAAATCTGTATCTTAGTTTGTGGATGATGGTGTTGAGGTTCGTGAATAATTGCATGTATTGCAGAGGAGAGCTTCAGTAGCAAGTGTGACTTTATTGGTTCTAGGTTGTGTGCTTTTTGTGATTGTGTGTTTTGCCTTGTTTGTGTTGAGCCTTATTTTTGTGGAAGTGGTTGCTTCACTGACTGTCTTCGTTTGCATTTATTGCTGTGTATGAGACAACAGGGTAAATCTACATGTAGAGTTCGAAGCATCTTGATGTATCGAATGCTTTGATTGTATTTGTGTTTTTCCTGAAATGAGTAGGTTTTCACAGTCCATTCAAAAACGCAACAAAGAGTCGGGAGCTTTATCTATGACTGGTGCTCACTGGGAATGGATTAATAAGCTGGCTTCTATACGGGACTGTGCAATTCAGTCTCCTATAGGGGTTTCGTGTAATGGTGACGATCTTCTCAGGTACTTGATAGTGTGATAGATTTCTCAAGGTCTTCTTATCCACAGTATCGAACATGTTCACATAATCATTGGAATTCATGTATGACGATGAGTTGTATTCAATCGATTAGTGAAAAATGATGTGCAGTGTCTCGATTCGATCTAGCATTACAGAAGCCAGCTTATTGATCTCAACGTTGTGTTTCTGCTTTATGTACGGTTTAGTTCAGCAGTACTGTTGAATATTTGTCATGGTAGTGGTAGTAGTGTGATTCCTGTGTAGTTCTCACATTTAGGATGATCTTTCTTTGGTATCCTGATGAGGTATCCCTCTTTCCATTCTGTTTGTACTTGTTCTTTCTGACGAATCCATACCTGAATTCAGTGTCTGAGCTTGTATGTTGCCTGTTCCTGCTGCTTCCCACTCATAATTCATCTGGTAACCTTGCTAATCTCTTCGACTGTTTGTGTGGTAACATTTGTAGGGTAGTCTGTGTGCACTGTTTCGATATCCGGTGCGCTCAGTGGCTTTGGTCTATTTAGGAGTACTGAAAAGTTCTCTACTAACGTTTTACGATGCTGTTGACCACCAGTGATTGGTTTGTCTTCTTTGTACGTTAGTGGTCGCTCTGATTTTTTATATTTACTTACTAGCTTTTTATAAGTAGCACATCGTTCTTTTACATTTCCTTCTCGTACAGCTTTTACAGGTGTAATTGTCGGGTCTTCTACATATTTTCACATACCAGCTCTAATTTTCTTCTTTAATCGTTTATTTGTTTCTGTAT